TGCTTTCATAGTGATGGAGGGGGGAGTACTCATATTAAATGTTTAAAAAATACCTGAGAGACAATTGGATAGAGCATCAATTTCTTGCCCTTATACTCCACAACAAAATGGAGTAGCAGAAAGGAAACATATATATAAAATGATGTTGGATTATCTCTTATGTTTTCTAGTGTAGTTTAAAGCTTTTATGGGTTGAAGCTTTCCATGTAGCTACCTTGTTGATAAATAGGTTTCCAACTAATGTATTGGATGGAAAATCTCCATGCCATACAGTACTTGGAAGAACTCCTGACTATTCTATCTCGAGGAGTTATGCGTGTTGGTATTATCCCACATCGGTATTATCTCCACATTGACATTAGCCTTATGAATAAACTTGATCCCAAGGCATAATTGTATATTTTTGTGGGATGTTCAGATGATCAGAAAGGTACATATGTTACTGTCCCCAAATATATAGACATGTAACATTTAATGAGTTGAAAATGTTTGCTCCTCCAAAGAATGATCTTGCAGGTGAAAGTCCGTGTCCAAAGGAAAGAGACAACGAAAGAGACTAACACGAGAATGACAGTGAAAATTTCTTCATAAGTCGATATCATGTGGAGAAATTTGTTGAAGATGATGTTGGGAAAGGTAGAGATGATGAAGATATTGTTCCTTGTAATCCAGGAGAAGACTTTATGCCGTTCGGTGAGGATGACCAACATATGGGTCAAAGTAGTGGCTCAACAGAAAAAAATGGGGCACATGAAGTCATTGTGTACGAAAGAAGAGCTAAGACCTCCATTTCCAACCCCCTCATTACCCTCTACCATCAATTCTCCTTTACCTCATTAAGCCACATCACTGAAAAAGCTTCCTTTGCAGTCTATCAATTGTAACCTTGAGCCCTCAACAGCAAACTCATCTCTCCCAAACCCATCTATAACCTCCAAGGCCCCTCTGGCCTCCATTTCCACCAAAAAATTGTCCCTACAACCACATAGGCCAACAACTAAACTCTCCACTTCCCACTACCCTCCCTGCTTACACGGTGGACCACTTCCTATCTCTCCCTATCTCCTTGCCTTCCCATCCACTCCATTTCCCATTCCATCCCGCAACCTGGCTTCCTCTTCATATTCTCTGAAGTTACCTTCCCACTCACCCTCACGCCCACCCATTCGCAATCCCCTCAATACCTCGATATCACACCTCAACCTGTTGTTGACTGGCTAGATTCCCTCGTTTCTCGTCCTTTAGGGATAATCACGGTAATTTCCAGCTTCCACATCACAAGTTACCTCCCACCCGAAGTAATCCCTTTTCCCAACTCTCTCCCTCCACCACCACCGTTGTCTGTCTTATTTTCTATTTTCCATGCCCTCAACCTTATTCCTCCAACTTGGTCGCCCACTCTCTCTTCGTAATGAATCTCTACATTCGTCCCACCGTCCCCCCCAACCAAAAAAAAAAGAAAAAAAACCCTTTCTTTTCCTTCCACACCTGATTAAGGTCCTCCAACTTGGTTGCCGCTTTCGCTTCGTAACCAATCTCTGCGCACCCCCCAAAACCCCACAACCAACCCCCTCCCTTCTTCTTCTCCTTCCCATATCTGATCACACTGCTACCCAATTTCCAGTCCACAAAGTCACATGTTTAACCCTGTCAAGATATATTCCTGATCTCAGAATACACAAAACCACCCATCACTATTATCATCACCACCTCTGCATGAGCAAGTGAAGGGCCTTCAGAAGGTTTCAGATCTATCCAAGAGGCCCCCACCCAAGGGGATTTTCCCTAAGAACTAGCCTACATAGTTGACTAGAAGGAAATCTGGTGTATCAACTATCGTGAACCCCACCTCAAGGAGATGTTAGAAAAGATGGGCTTCTTTGGCTATGATGGACTTGCCACCGATCTCTCAAAAATCCTTCGGAACGACACATGTTAGGTAAAAAGTAGGGATATCTGGAAACTTCTTAACCTATCAACTGACATAAACTATGATGCTGGACTCCCCCAGAGTTCGACTAGTCTCCCAGGCGCTACCCAAGGTGCCTGCCTTCATTCACCCATCCTCCAAAATGGGGATTCTCACATAGAACATTCAGAGGATTGACAACCTCAAAAAGAGCTGCCATTCTTGCTTTCTATTAATACCCAACGTCCTAGCCATCTCAGAAACCAAAGCCCCTTCCCCTCAACTTTTCGATATTAGAAGGGTTTAGGTAAGATGGCCTTGCCAATGGATTGGCTTAGAAGCTTTAGGAGCCTTAGGAGGTCTTTGGGTCATCTGAGACCCTTCCATCCATAGCCTCTGTTCTAGGTCTATAGAGGTTTACTCATTAACCTGATACTACACTGAACCTCTGACAACTCATGGAAGTTCATGACAATTTACGGACAGAATAGACCCAATCTCAGGCAAGCCTTCTTGAATGAGCTTAGCTCGGTGCCAATTCCCCTTCCAGCCCACGGCTCCTTGGTGGAGGTTTCAACATTATCAGATAGTCGTACAAGTCCAACCACCAGTCCAGAATCACTCCTTGTAGATGAACCTTACTCATATTTCATTTCATAAAACAGTCTCATCTACATTGTTTATGGATCCTCCTGTACTTGGTCCAACCACTCCTCCAACCCCCCTCACCAAATACGGCCGCTTCCTGATATCTTGGGAAGGGGGTGATTAGTTCCTTAGCACCCACTCCTATTCCTTGGCCAACCCAACTTCTGGCCACAAATCCTTTCTCTTAGGCACCAGATAAATCAGCCCTGCCCTAAACCCTTTAGGTTCGAACTATTATGGCAGGAAGTATTTTTCTTGTACAACTGAGTTTGGAATCTAGATTCTACCTCACCAAATTTGTGATTTATAGATGAACAAGGTCATGGTTCAACTTAAATGAGACCTCATTTCTTAGTTTTAGGATTAGTGATCAGAGATATTTGGAATCTAGATCCACAACATCAAAATAATTTCCAAAATTCAATGGAAGGCTGGGAATCTCTTAAACATTATTTGAAAAATTTTATTTAAAATTTGTTAATAATTGAAATATATTGGGTATCTAAAAACTCTGAGTGTCGATAAATTCTAGTTTACTCGTTCGTAAGTTTCGAGAGTTTGTAATAAACGTCTTATCTTTAAATACTCTAGGAAAGTACTTAATTAAGGGTACTTGACCTTGTTTGTAAAAGTACTTAAAATTTTCATTAATTCAATTTGAAAACTCTAGGAAAGTACTTAATTAAGGGTCCTCGACCTTGTTTCTAATAGTTGTGGAGAACTGTGATAAATGGCACTCAATACTTTGACTCCATTGTTAGGAGAGAGTTGCTAAGGACATCGATACGAATAAGTAGGGAGCCATTGGCAAGCGTACTTTATATATGGAGTCCCAACACTAAGGATTTCTTGCTTATAGATAATCTAAAACCTTAAAGTTTTTGCCTCTTCAAACCCGTTTCATGATAATTTCTGTCCTAATTCCTAGTGGTTTGGTGCGTGATCCCCATAAGTTGGGAATCTTAATTCCAAGTTGATGGGATCGCGATTCCAGCAAGATAGGAATCTCTATTCCTATTGGATTAGAGCACGATTGTCGAATGGTCCAAATCCCGCTTCATGTGATATGCATTGTAAGGATGGCTATTCTGGCTATAGAATCATTTGGTCACTTGCGATTCTGTGATTCGGATTCCTGAAACAATTAACAATTACAGGGGTTTCCAACTACCAGTGTTTCAAAAAGCGCTCGGCGTCACCTAGGCGGTCGGGGGGTCCAGGCCACCCAACGCCTAGGCGGGACGCCTAGAACCTGAGCGGCCTAGTAGAATTTTTTTTTTTTTTTGGGTTTCTTTTTCTAAAATAGCCTTTAATAGGTTTTAGGTTTCAAATGAACCTAAAACCCACAAATTTACCCTTTTAATATTAAAACAATGACCCAAAAATACCCTTAAGGAGCCGTATTTCCGCCCATGGGTGGGGCGCAGGTCTTGGGCGCCGCCTAGGCGGGTTCAAGTGGGCGCCCAAGGATATCCGCCTAGGCGATGGGCGGTCCGCTTTTTGAAACAGTGCCAACAACTATAACTCTACCATTATTTCCTTCCTCCAATGCCTGTTCTTGGCCCATTCAGGGTCTCATCCTCACTTTGTTGACCTTTCTTTTCTTACCTTAAACTCCAACTCTGTTATGTGGTTTGAACACTATTCCAAGGGGAGGAAATATCACAAGCCATCTCCAACTTGGCAAAATACAAAGCACCAAGCCGTGATGGCTTCCTGGTTGCCATTTTCACTAGATTTTGGGATTCATTTTTGCCTGATATCTTAGCCCTTTTCGATGACTTTTACCACATTGGCTTCCTCAACAAAGAAATAAATGTGACTTTTATTCCCCTCATACCCAAATTTGAGGGAGCTAATGACCTCAAAATTTCAGAACCTAGAAATCTCCTCAGCTACGCTTACAAAATCATCTCCAAGGTCCTTGCCTCGATGCTTAGAACTGTACTGTATCAAGTCATTCCCAAAATCAAAGTGGTGTTGTTAACAATAGATAGATCCTCGATCATGTCCTTGTTACTCACAAAGCCTTACATTACAGGCATCAGATCAGAAGGCCTGGACTTACTTTGAAACTGCACTGGGAAAACCCTTATATTTGCTTTTATATGCAAATGAAGAAGCATGCACGTTATGATGAAGTTACAAGGGATTATGTAGCTGAATGATATATTATTTTTCATTGGTTCCAAACTTTTAGCCTTAGAGAGCATCTTTTCGATAACATGGGCTGCTATTATCTTGTTCTTTGGTCCTCAAATTTCAATGTCTAAATTTATTTTTTCTATGGGTAACTTCTTGAGTCAGTGCAGAATGTGCTATTATATTATTTGCATATGATTAATGCCTACATAGAAATGAGCATTTTCGGCCCTTTATTTTCCTTGGCAAATATATTTTGAGCTATGAAGATGGCACTGATGACATTTGTTCTTTTGTACAGGTCGGTGAAAGCATTTACCTATGAATGTTTAAACAATATCGTGAGGTTTATCAATGGGTTTTCAGCCCTTGTTTTGTCAATATTGCCTGGGAAGAAAAACATTCTTGAAGGTATACATGGCTGGGAGCTGACGCCTACATTTCATGGACCTAGATTTCCAAGATGGATGGAGAAGTAAGTTCTGAGTTCAGACCATTATAAGGTTCTACAGTGGCATTCTTTTTACAATGTATTTGAACACGTCCTCTCTCTCTCTCTCTCTCTCTCTCTCTCTCTCTCTCTCACCAGAAAGTGAATTGTTTCTTAGATGCATATTTTGCTCTAATATTGATCTCCTTCAGATGGATAATGGTTTTACTATGACATCTTAGTGGTCTCCTTCAAATGGAGAATTTTTTACTGGAACTTCTCATTGGTATCCTTCTGTTGGATTAAGTGTTTTCTATGACAACAAATGAAATATGTCTGTCTCAGTTGGCTACTAGGGTGTTCTTTCCTGGGTGCTTTTCCCCCTTTGACATAAAGTTTCTATTAGTTAAAAAAGAAACATCTAGTTCAGATGTGCTCGAATGTGTTACTTTAAATTACAAGTTAATACCATTTACAAGTTAATACCAACTTGATTGTTCTATGAAATGAAAATCATTTGCTGGTAATTTCACTCCCTAGCAATTTCTTGATTAGGCTTTTATCAATATTTTGTTTAGTTTGGCAATTGAATTTATTGCACAGTTGATTCTATGCAGACATGTATGTGTTTCCATGCTAAGAAACTTTAAGACAAGAATGCAATGATAAAGCATTCCCATATACTGCTTCTGTATTTGAAGACATATTTCTGCTCCAGCCTGCCCAGATCCAATCAGCTTTTGTTTTATTGTTTCTTTATATTTGAATCGTTTTTAGTTATTCAGTAATATTGGTCCATTTAGACTGTATTTATGTAAGGTTAGCAAGAGTTTATTTTTGTCTCATTCTTTTCTTGACCTTTTATTGTTTTGTATGAATGCTAGTGGTGTGTCTTCTTTCAACCAATTCATCCATGAGTTATCTGTAGAGTCGAATTCTCCTTCAAGTTCAGATTATGGATCCAGCGAAGAAGATCATGATGATAGCTCCCTTCCTTCCACTCCAAATTCTAATGCTTCACGCCTATCAAGGGATAATAGTTTTGGAAGGCATAGTAGACATCCTACACCTTTTATTAAACACGTACTTTCATGGGCTTTGTGGCCAGCAGCATTCATTTTTGCTATTCCATATCGTATTTTTCATCCATCGGAATCCAGGAGACCTAAACCTTCTACACTGAATAGCTCAGGAAGCTTCCGGACTTCTAGTATGAATTCTCCTAGGAGACGCATGAAAGACCATGTTGTTCCCCATGCAACAGATAGGAGGCGTGGAGTTGTTGAGGTTGTTATAAGTTACGTTTTCTACATTTGTTTACTAGTTATGAATAATTGAGCATACATACTTGTGATTCTGTATTTGCTATCTTGTTTTATATTTGTGTGTTTGCTCTTATTTTCTTTTCTTGTTCAACCCCATAGCTCAAGTGAAAGGTTCTTCTTATTGCAACCATGAGATTGTGGGTTTGAACACATGGTAGCCACTAGCTAGCTCCTCAAGAGATAACAATCTATGGTTCTTTTGGTAGGGACTGTTCATCTGGGGATTGTTGGTCTTCGTGGTTCTCCTTTTGCTTGCAATCACATGCATATTTGAAAATTCATTCTTCATTGTTTGAGAAATCTTCTGCAGATTGATATTCTCTTTTTCCTAAATTGCTTCTATCTTTTTGAACAGGACATCCAGCTTGCAATTGAGATCTTTATTGAAGCCATTTTTGATGTCCTTCATAAAGCAGCACATTATTCCCTGTCACCTTTTGCCACATCTCAAGAATTGTGGAGATGGTTCTTTTCTGATCACAGAGGAAGCAGGGAAGATTTTTCTGGCTCTGGTGATTTGAATGTGGTTGTCCCCACATCCACCCTTGGTGATGAGGACCCAACCCCCACCGTTAGGCAGTCCACATTTCATCAGACTCTGAATACAGATGCTCGGACATGCAAGGACGTTATAACAGAACTTGGGTAAGTTGAACAACTTAACTTCTATAAAAGCAAATTTATCTTCCACATTTCAAATTGGTTTTGCCTTATTTTCGTAGGTTATTATTTGTGCCGGTCTGTAAATATCTTCTGTTCTTTAAGTGTATTATAACCAATGGACTTTGGAAAACCATAGTCCACTGGGGTCATCATCGTCCCATGAATGATGGATGTTGGTGGAGAGGGAGTGGTGCCACTAATGCAGTAGGACCCATTCTCTCTCCATCATTGTCCATCATTTAATGAACCTAACGAACTGTGATTTTTCATAATCCATCAGGGCAATATACTTTACTTCATTAACTTTGATATTTATGTCTGTTGGGTATCCAAAAGTGTAGATTATATCTTGTTTAGGATGTTATTTAGGCACTAAACGTACATTCTGAATTTCTTTATAGGTATCCATATGAGGCCATCCGTGTGGTTACTTCTGATGGATATGTGCTACTTCTTGAGCGAATTCCAAGGTATGGCGATGAGATTTGTTTCACTTGCTGTTTGAGTGGGTTTATAGTTTGCATTTCCTCTTTTCTTCTTAACTTACTACGCTTGTTTACTGTTCTGAAGTCACATTATGATTTTATCCTACATTGCTCTTTGTAAATTCCATACAGGCGTGATGCACGAAAGGTTGTTTTTTTGCAGCATGGAGTATTTGATTCATCTTTGGGGTAAGTGAAGCAAGCACACATATTGGTTCATCTGTGGGGAAAACTTCAATGGGCTATTGCATTTCTCAGAAGTCAAAACTGAAGAAGAGTAATTCATTCATTGTTTCATTTGTTGGGCTTGATAAATGTTTCCCTTTTTCTTTTTAGTGGGCTTAGCATATGCATGCGCCATTTTCTTTATGGATAATAATGCCAATTTTTGTCTTCTTCTTCTTATTATTGTTAGTATTATTATTTTTTTTATGTTGTTTCTGGGTTGATATCGTGACTGTTTCTAGTATCTTCAATTTACAGGTGGGTTTCCAACGGAGTTGTTGGTTCGCCAGCATTTGCAGCATATGACCATGGTTTGTACTGGTTTCATAGAGTTTGGCTTACAAAGGTTTTCATAGGACGATAATGGTAGATAAGTTTTCTGTAGAAAAGTGATCTTTTCCAGTGACCGTAACCCTTCAATTCTTTTCCTTTGGCCATGTAGGTTATGATGTCTTCCTTGGGAATTTCCGTGGCTTGGTCTCCAGGGAGCATGTCAACAAAAATATATCTTCCCAGAAGTAAGGAACTGGTTCGTTGGTCCTTTCTCTTGGTACCAAGATTTAAATTTTCATGTTACAAAAAAAAAAGGGTTTGTGGCTTGGTCATAAACTAGAATTGTGGACCTTGCACTGGTATTGGCATGCATTTTACAACTGAAAGCTAGTGACCACATTCTAGATTTTGAACCAGATTTTGCATTTCAAAAGTGGGATCAGCCACCTGGTCTGCTTAAAGGGACAATCATATAGTTGGATCGGTCTTCAATATCCAATCTTGGTGCTAATCTCCTTCTATATTTGGGGAGTGAATTTTAGCATCTCTTAATCCCTACTTTAAACTTAAGGGGTCTCTGATCCTCATTTACGTGTTTGTTCATCCTTCTAACTACCTATTTGAGGAAATCACATGCGTTTTTGAGGGTCATGTGCCCAACCCAGTTTCTGCTCACCCATATCTGGAGGGTCACATGCCCAACCCTTCCCCGATTAGCCACGTATCCCTCCTGCGGGCTCCCCATGTGGGCACGTCCCCACCGTCCTGCCACACGCCAGTTTTTGAAAGGGATCACGTGACCAACTATCCCCTGTCGTCCCCAGAATCTTCTTTTCTTAGCCTCATGCCTCCAAACCTTTCCTCTGTTCTCTCGAAACGCAGCACCTAACCTGGCGCCCAACCTCTGCCTAACCTGAGCGATGCCTACTTACTTATCACGAGCCTCCCCTGGCCCCCTTTAGATGCTTTGCAGCAGTTCCCCTCCTCTCCTTCTCCGCCTTTACCTAGAGAATGTCCCCCCAGTTCCTCCACTAATTCGCAGCTCTGCTCTAGGTCTGATCCCAATGTCCCCTCTTCTCTTCGGGAAGCTGCCGAGCCACCATCACCCTTTTTTACACTTGGGCAGATCTATCCCTCATACCCGTTCCCCATGCCCCTCTTAACACCTTTGCTACCACCCCATCCTCAACCCAATTACCAGCGGCACCCCTCTTGTTCCTCTCCCTGCGAGTACTACCTTTGCTGAGCCCTCATGCTTGAAGGTGAATCCTCAGCCTGCTCTCTACCTCAAGGAGACGCACATGCAGAAGGTTACAACAACCTAGCCCCAGCCTCAGACTGCTGTCTTCCATTGGAAGAAGACTTCCTTGATGCAGAACTGAGGCACCTGAAGACTTGGCCAGTGGACCCTTCATCCCCAATGCTCTGTCCCTTACCTCTCTCCCTCCTCTTTTCTCCCCCGTTTCCCACTTCTTTTCCGCCCTTATTAGTGTCCCAAAAGCGTCGGGCGGGGCCTAGGCGGCCGGGGACGGTCCAGGCTGCCCAGTGCTTAGGCAGGCATCCATAATCTAGGCAGCCCAATAGAAAGAAAGTTGTTTTGAGGGTCAAATTTTGTGTAAAAAATTAAAAAATGCATATTGAGACATATTTTAGTCTATAATTCCATGCATTTGAAATTGAGACATATTAAAAAATACACATTGAGGCATATTATAGTCCACAATCCAAGATAGCAACTTAGCAAGACATCAATTCATCATCAAGAAAATAAAAAAGAAGAAGAAATCAAGCTATATTTCCAACCCGGATCGCTACTTCTATTAGATCCAAAAAAAAAAAATCTCAAAATAATACAAGCAATCTCAAAAATAAATTTTTTACTTTGATTGCTCATCTCCAAACTTCCACCTCTGAGATATTTTCAAATATCAAAATATTCTAAAAACACCTCCAGTAGACCTAAAAAACCTCCAAAACTAAATCTAATCTCAATGGATGATGTTTAGATTGATTTCTCGTAACTTCAAGAAACCCTTCGATCCAATGAAAATCACAAAAATCTTGGTTTTTTAGGTTTTTCTCTCTCTAAAATAGGCTTTAGTGGGATTTAGGTTTGTAATGAACTTAAAATCCACCTTTTTCCTGTCTTATTTTTTAAAAAAAACCCAAAAATGCCTCTCAACGAGGGGCATTTCTGCCCCTGGGCAGCCGCCTAGGGCTGGGCGCTAGGCCAAGCGGGTACCCTAGCACCCTGGGGAAGGCGCCCAGGCACTCTAGACTGCCTAGGCAGCCGCCTAGACGCTAGGCAATCCCTCATTTGGAAGAATGCGCCCTTTTCCCCTAGAGCACCTTCTTCTCCCTCCTCCTCATCCCACTCCCCATCGTTTCAGCCGCTGGCCCCTGCCCACCCCCTATTGCCAACTCCCCCCTCCTCTCCCCGATGAACTTCAACCTTCCACCTCCTTCCTTCTCCCCCTTCCCCAAGTTTTTACCTTTCCTCATTCCATCCCTCTTTGCCCTGAACCCTCAATGCTCCCTAATTATCAATCCTTATCTTCAATCATCAAGGCTAACAGAATCTTACCTCCAATACCTTCCCCTGGCCTCCACACTTTAACCCCCTTGCAACACCATCCCGCTTCTCTGGCTCACTCCCTACTATGGGCCTCTACAGTCACCCACCTCATAACCCTCTCCTTGGAACCCCTTTCCAACCCCCCCATCGACCTTTTCCCTTTGCCCCCTTTCCCCCATCTCCCTCATTTAACTCTACCCAGTTTCCTATCCTCACCAACCTTGTTTCTCACTACTGGCCTTCCCCTAACCCCAATGACCCCCCTCCTCCCCTCGCCTTTTATGAGCTCGCATCCTCCTCACATCTGGTTTGGATTCCCAATCCGTTAGAGAGGTTACACCTTCGTATTCCTCCTGTGCCATCGCTTTGGTGGAGACCCCAAGCTTACCCCCATTTCGAACTCCCATAACACTTCCCCAGTTTTGGCAGATTCCAGTTTCATGGAAGGACTAGACAACACCCAGGGGAACATCCATCAGGTTCTAAAAGTGATGGGTTTCGATTACAACCACCCAGAGGACGACATCAAGGCCTTCTTCATATCGGATGCCCAATCCAGTCCCTGAGCTAACAGCAAAGGCAAAGGGAAGAAGGACAGGCAAGGGGCCCCAAATCCTAGGTCTGGAAGTAACGAGGGTCGTCCTGGACACTAGTCAGTATCCCCTGTAGCCACTGAGTTTTCTAATGGGCAGCTCCCCAGGCGATCCCCCGGCTCGCCTCCTCAAACACCATCCCATGAAAATCCTTACTGGGAATATCTGGGGGTTGGGAGACAATTTTAAGAGACACACACTGCGAGATTTCTGCACGGTCACCATGTTTCTCTCCAGAATTTCTGATGGCCTCCATTGGAAATTCTTGGCCATCTATGGCCCAAATTCAGCTGGTCTCAGAGGTCAGCCTCCTTGTGGTGTGTTGGTGGTGACTTCAAAGGTCGCACGAAAGAAATTACTACCCTAGATTATCTTAGTGCATGCTTCTTTTTTCAGATTTCATCTCTCGTCCCAATTTGGTTGACATTCCCCTTCAAGTTGTCGGATTCACATGATCTAATCAACAGTCCAACCCCTTCCTTTCTAACATAGACCGCTACCTCATCAGTTTTGAGTGGGAATCTGTCTTTCCTTGATCACATGCTCTAGCTCTTCCCAAACCCACATCCGACCATCAACCTATTCTCCTTGATACCCAGCTTGCACACAGAGGTACTAAACCTTTCTATTTTGTGCTTTCTTGGCTCGAAGAGGCAGAAGATTCATGCCTCGAACTGGTAATCGAGTCAAGTTTTGGCTGGACCTTTGGATTGGGACTTCTACCCTGAAAGAGAGGTTCCTGAAAGAGAGGTTCCTGAATCTCTTCCTCCTTGCGCACAATGACCAGGCTTCTTTGACAGAAATCTTTGGGGCCGACCTTCGCTGCTCCACCTCCCTCTTATCTCCTACAATACTTGGTTCTCCTTTGGACCCCCAAAAATGCAAGTATTCAGCTGGATAGCTCTGGCTGAGAGGGCACTTACTGTAGACCAACTTCAGAGAAGGGGAATACCTATTCCGAACAGGTGCATTGTGTGCTTGGACGACGAGGAAACCAATTCCCATCTGTTTATCCATCGCCAATGTGCAAGACAACTGTGGGGAGACCTTTTGCAGTGGTCCAATTGGTCCTGGGTTACCCCAAGGACTGTTCCCCACATTCAGCTCCCTACAGCCTTTCGCATGGGCTAAGTTGGGCATTCTCCAGTGGAAGGCGTCCCGTAAAAACAGGATCATGGACTCCATGATCTTTTGGGCTTTAAAATATCCCACTTCCAAATCCTTTTCCCACATAGACTTCCACCATAAGTGGCAGGCCCTGCTCTTCCTCAAAACCTCTTCGCATCTCTCATACTTCCTTATGGAAAACCCCCGCCCCGGGACACATCAAATTCAGTTTCTGTGGATGTTCCTTGGGCAAACCTGGCCCGGCCGGCATAGGGGGCATTTTTAGGATCACAAAGGAAGGATCCTATTATCCTATTCTAAGTACATCAGCCACACTGACTTGAGCACAGCTGAGACCCTCGCCCTTTTAGAAGGCCTCAGAAATTTTGACTCCCTGTGGGGTAACAAATTAATCGTGGAGGGAGATTCCATGAATGTTATCTCATGGGCTTCAGGCTCCGCAGACTGCCCGTGGAGATTGGCAACCTTTTTCGACGAAATAGCCCATATTTGTAGGGCTCTTCACGATACTTGGCAACACACATGGCACGAAGCAAACTCCGCAGCAGATCAGCTGGCCAAAGGAGGAGCCAGACAAGGCAATGGCGTCCTGGGAATCTCCCATTCCCCTGCTCAAGCCTAGTTTTACTGATTATCTGGCTGTATATGCATAGCTTTTGGGGTTTTTGCATCCCCCCTGATTTTTGGCGGTACATGCATATTTTTTTTTGTTTCCTTGTTTAAAGGCCTGGGTTCTTGTAACCTGTGGGTGAACACTTTTATAACTTGTAACTCACTCATATTTCTTAATACAAGTCAACAGTTTCAAAAAAAAAAGAAAAGACAACATGCATGCACCTAGGTGGGGACAAGTGTACCTATAAAAAACTCGGTGATATGACTGCTACTTATTATTCCCATTACCTTTCTCCCAAATATTGGCTAAAGTTTGAACAAATTATAATTGTCTATAAGGAAAACTGAAGTATGCAATAGCTATATGGTCATATGATAAGCCAAAGAGCATATCCTTGTCCATTCCTAATGATTATTGGTGATTTTCTCTAGTGGGCTGTGCCATTCAGCAGGTACAATTAATCTCCACCATTCATCATCAGAAACAGACAGCGGAATCTCCGTTGGAGTATTTTATATCATACTCCATTGTACTATCATATGCCCTCTACAAAAAAAAAAAAAAAAAAGAGAAAAAAAAAGAATAAAGAAAGAAAAGGAAAACAGCAACAACAACAATGAGATCCTCTTCACGCTCGGTGAAGTGACGAGATAAATAGCAATTTTATTCTGCAGGTATTGGAAATATTCAGTAAACGAGCATGGGATCCAGGACATTCCTGCCATGATTGAGAAGATCCATGAAGTGAAGGTCTTGGAATTGAAGACACTTCAATTCGACGATTCCTTTGATGAAACTAATGACCAACCCTACAAAATATGTGCAGTTTGTCACAGCCTTGGAGGAGCCGCCATCCTCATCTATGTAGTGACACGACGCCTCCAAAACATTCCTCATCGCCTCTCAAGGCTTATCCTCTTATCACCAGCGGGCTTCCATGATGACTCAACCCCAATCTTTACTTTCTTTGAATACTTTTTACTAACATTTGCCCCTTTTCTTGCTCCATTTATACATGGTTTTTATATACCCACCCGCTTCTTTCGCATGCTTGTTAACAAGTTGGCTCGAGATTTTCACAATTACCCCGCTCTTGGAGGATTAGTTCAGACCCTTATTAGTTATGTAGCGGGTGGGGACAGTTCTAACTGGTTGGGGGCAATTGGGTTGCCTCATTATAACATGAATGACATGCCTGGGGTGTCCTTTTATGTTGCATTGCACCTTGCGCAGATGAAGCGTTCGAAAAAGTTCATAATGTACGACTTTGGGAGCCGTAGTGCGAATATGGAAGCATATGGTATTGAGAAGCCATTGGATATAGGGGCCTGTTATGAATATATTGATATTCCTGTTGATTTGGTGGGTGGGCAGAAAGATAAACTGATTAAGCCCTCCATGGTTAGAAGACATTATGAGTTGATGAAGAGAGCAGGTGTCGTGGCCTCCTATCGTGAGTTTGAGTATGCTCATTTGGATTTTACTTTCTCTCATAGAGAGGAGCTCTTGGCATATGTGATGTCTCGTTTGCTACTTGTCACACCACCTCAATAGAAAAGGTCTCTTGATGAGAAGGGTATAAATATGAACCCGGGTAGCAAGAAGTTGAGCAAAGCAATGTCTTCCCGTTTGGGAGGGATGAATGAGAAAGAAAGTATTGGACAAAAGGACAAGAGACTGGTTGATGAGAGACAAAGTAAGGAGCAGGAGGACAAGGCAGTGGAAAGAGAAAGTAAGCACTTTCCACTGGTGTTGTAACAGTTAGTATGCGAGTAGCTATGATTTTGTTTTCTATGGGCATATCACCATGGGATAAGTTTCTTGTAAATTGTGCAGTGTAGTTTGGTGTAAACTTTTGTGGATATAATTTCTTGTGAGTTGTATCTTGTCTCATGATGGTTTGTCTTTTCAAGATATGAGTTCAGTTTGCATTTCAATTCGACTGTGGTTGCACCTGGCTCAAGGAGGTACTTAAGTTTGTGGTTGAACTTCCATACATTGGAGTGTGTTTGCCTCATGTTTTATCTCAAAAGGGTTTTCAATGGGTTCATACCTAAAATAATTTATGCTCTTGTGCCGCCCTTCTATCTCTATATTTTTGGGCTACTTTGTGATGGGATCAACTACGGGACTGCGAACTCATTCAAATTAGTTTTTTCGTATTATGTACTCTAGATGACCTACCTTGGATGAGTTATAATTTTGAAATCTCATTTATCAAACAAACATCACCATCTCATTAATGGAAACTTCAATAAACAAATAAATCTGCTTAAACAAAGTTTCCATAATCCCCAAAATTTGAGATAGATTAATCAAATACACTATTTTCCATGACCAGATTTTTAAATTTCCACTTTCCGGATCTCGAATTTGATATTTCTGATTTTGATTCAAGCTTCAGTTACAACACCCCTGTTAGTTTTTGGAAAAGGTTTGCATTGTTTGCTAGCATATGGGTTCCAGAAAGTTTGTTTCCCTAGCGCTCGATGGATTCTTTTTTGGACTTTTGAGGGCGTAGAGAACGCATCCCACCTGCCTGTTTTCAGTATCTCATGTCCAGAGAGCTTATGGCAAGCTATTTGAATCCTAAATACAGTAGTTTCTATATGGGGACGAAGTTTTAGGAAAGGGAAAAGTTTATATAGAGCCAAGGCTCTAAACAATTAAATTAGAGCTTACTTCAAAAATTTTACTAGAAGAGATTGTTTTGATGTCCAAATATCTTCAAATTGATCATCTCAACATCAGATACCTGGACATGAGAAAAAAAAAGGATTTCAAGTTTTGGAAATAGTGTGTTGTGTAATGCATTTTTGGACGGTCAATTTTTAAGATTTTCAAGTTTTCATAGATTTGTCGATCTACGTTATTTTTTAAACTTTAAAATTTATAAATAAAAATAAAAATATATTTTAAGGCTTTAACAAAGATTTCCAATGTTGAAACTACATTTCTCGACACTATTGGCTTAGGAGCTATACAAACGGCACTCTTTAAGAAATTGCCGAGCTGACTCAAAACTGCTTTAATTGGCTTGAGATAGCAGGGAATACCCCATACGGCCCAAATTTAAAAAGGCTTTTTTAAATTATTTTATTATGATATAACTGATCCATTATTTTCAATCTTGTCCGTCATTTCTACACCGGAAATCATGAAATTAGGGCAAATGGTACGTACCTTCAATCGATCTGGGCCAGTTCAAGTTAGGTACTAAAGAACTGTGCTTGTTTGATTTCAAGACTCTCTCGTCCAGCCTCTTTAAGAAAACAACCCTAGTTTAGTACAATTCTAGGGGTACAAAGCACTTGTTTAGCTACGATTGTAAAGTGCTTGTTTAACAACTACACTAACTTGTTCAGCGACCACTTGAGTCTTCAGTTTCGTAGCTTATTCTTCGCACTCTAGCTTTCTAGGTTTAACTGCTCGATGGCCAATTTAGGCCGTAACTACATAGAAAAGCCTTTGATGCTCAAAACGTATGGCTGCCGGAAAGAGGAAGTCACGTATTTATTTTAAGCCCTTTTTTCATTTATATATTTTTAATTAAAAAAAAGCAAAATGGAAGAAACTGAATTCCAAAATTTGAGAGCATTTGGAAAAACCTTTTTTCCCCAAATTCTATTAAAATTTTGTTCCAAAATGGTATTGTCGCATTGATCTACTATAGCCGTAATTAAAATTTTCGAATCAAGACAAAAAATCTCGAATATAAATTTTGTTTTTTTTCTTTTTCAATTAGTTTATCTTTTCTCTTTTTTCTGATTATCCTCCTTTTTTTTATGTATTCTATCGAGAAAACATAATCTTGATAGTTTTTTAATTACTCTATTATTCCATACTAGTAATTTATTTTTGGATCTACTCCTTTATTAGATGAAATTTTCCTCTTTTTTTCCTTTTTTTTTTTTTTTTTTTTTCCATTTTGAGTTAGTATTTTTATCTTAATTACATATATATTTTTTTGAAATGAAACTAGTCTTTAAAAGTTCTTTTCTTTTTTGGTCTTTATTTTTTCTTTTAGTGCCTTTTTTTTTTGGTAAATTTCGTATAGGCCCCTAATTCTTCATGTTATTTTATGGTAGATCATCCTTTCATTTTTCTTTCAAGCAGCATAAAGAAGTCTTTAAGGATTTCACCGTGTCCCCTCACCTTTTATTTTTCTATTTTATTGACTTTTTGACCATAAAACTTAATCCCAACAAATCTTTTTATATTATTTTAATTCAAAAATTCTTTTAATGGGTGAAAAGAGAAAAAGATAGTTAAAAAGTTTTTGGGTTGACATGGCATAAAGAGTTCTTGGGGCTAATTTTTATAATCAAACGTAAATAAAAGAGGGAGATAAGAGATGAGGGGGTATGATCAAATCTTTAAGGGTTTCTTTATGCTACTTGAAAGAAAAATGAAAGGAGAATCTATCATGAAATAATATAAAGAATTAAGGATCTATATGAAATTTTCCTTTTTTTTTTTCCCTAAATTTTATTTATTTTTTTCGTAGTTTTTTTTTTTGCCAACACTGTAGCTCACGGACCTGACTTGCTAAGTCAGCCTGTGGTTGGCCAGTTCAACCCACAAATCTTTCAAATGCTAATTGGTGCCAATACAATACGGGGGCTCACAACAAATTTGCAAAAAATTTGCCGACCATAAGGTTCTCAGAATAAATAGAGTTTTTATTTTCTTTTACTAAGTCTTTTTGTGAGGACGGTTGCTTACATTCATTTTTTTTCTAATTTTAGAAGAAAATGAGATTCATACGAAAGGAAAAGTGTTTTGTTAGTCAGTCGTTTTGTGAGTCAGCCGACTCCAACTATTTTTGTTCGGTCTCCCTACAAAATATATCTCAAAGATGTATTTTCCATCCAAAATTTTAGAATTCAATAATCTCAACCACGACAATGATCTAAATTTGAAAATTTTCTTTTTTAAAAAATATAAATATAACTTACTGAATTCTTTTTTCACCATCCATGTTAACTTTTAGTGGATGTAACATATTTTTTGACATCCATCTTAAAAATGGACGTTTGATAGACAATGGATGGGGCGGTAATAGGTGAGCGGCTGACTCACCAAAACCGTATCCTGTTAAGTATAGTTACTGCCACATTCGGTGGTCTCTCACCTCAACTCTGATCGTAGGTAAAGGCATTCATTTGCTTGGTGCAGTTGACTAGAGCACTAATCGCTCTCAATTATTTGATCCTATTATCAACTTAGAACAGGTTGTTGCAATCCGTACAACATCAATTGTAGTGAATGGCCTTCTCACCTTATTTTCATCTCTTCTACAAGGATCCAGACATACAAATGAATTTGGACTTTACCTAGCCAAAAGAAAGAAAGAAAGGGATGCAGTATGATGGCTTTAAAATCAATCCTCAAATTCTCGTTTAGGCATCAAAAATCTCCATGATAGCTTTATTATCAATTTCCAATACCGATTTTATATTGAAGATAAAAAAATGAACACATTTTTTGATGACGAAATAGTTGGTCTAGATAATTTGTTACAAGATACACCATTTTTAAAGTTTGAAATCCTAATTTCTTTCAAAACCATAATATTCAAAGCCGACATGATCAATTTGAAGATTTTTGAACGCCAGAATTACCATTTTCAGTGAGTTTTGAGATGAAGTTTTCCTTATTTTGATAGAGCTGCAGCCCTATCAAAATTTTTTTCTTGAACAAAAAAGAAAGAAAAAGCAAACATCTCGTGCTTTTGTTATTAGAAATATCAAGGTCATGATTTTTTCCGCAGGTAACAAGTTATAAATCATAGATTTTTCCATTTTTCCTTTATTATGGACATGTGAGAATGGTTCATCTGCTCAATCAGTTCCAAACACAATAACAAAGCATATGCATAGGTGTTCAAAATGTATATAAGAGGGCCCACACATAGGCGTTCTTTATGCAAATAAGAAAGTTCCTGCACATGCACATAGACAGCCCATGCATAGAAGTTCATACATGGTTGATTTCAAGGCAAAAATCCACCTCCTGTCATAGTTGATGGGCCTTGTGATGATAGTTGCCCTTGCGTTAACATCTGTGGCCTGACTTGGCCTTGTTGCGGCTGCTGCTGCTGTTGCTGCTGTTGACTAGGCATGTTTGGTTTGAAGACAACCATATCCTTGTTTTCAATGAAAGTAGTCTCAAGTAGTGCCATAAATTTCAAAACGCAGGGGGAAGATATTATATTATATATATATATATATATATATATATATATATATACACCCACCACACAACAACAATAACAATAGTCGTCGTTCCGTACACGACACACACACACACGACTACCGACCAACTAAACTAACAACAACGAAACGTCACAC